CTAACGAAAGCATCCACACGACGCCCAGTTTGCTCATAGATCTCAGGTCCCGTGCCAGTGTAGTGTGCGCGCCAGTTGGCTTCCGTTTCGAACTGATCGGCGAACAGTCCTCTCCCCGGCTTTTCGAAACTTGCAGTGTGCTCTTCTGCTCGCGATCGTGCGAGGTTGACAAATTGTTTCTGATCCACGATAGGCGCCGGGCGCACTCTTTCTACTTCAGCACCAAGCTTCAGCAGGAGATCTGACTTCTCGATTGCCATGTCGTTTGGCATGCAGCTTCGCTTGTCAGCCAACACACCTCTGAGTCAGATGACGACGTACATGTGTGCTTTGTAGCCTCTTGCTCTGCAGATAGCGGCTAATGATATGCCAGTGCTCCCCACAGTGCCTTCGTAGATGGTGTCACCAGAATGTGGGATCAAAAGACCCTTCTCTTCAGCCTGGTATGAGAATCAGCAAACATAAATGATATAAACGGGAGGCGGAGTAGAGTCTTCTCTTACCATCTCGATGATGCTTAGAGCGACTCTGTCTTTTGGACTGTTGCCGGCTCCGTTGAGAAACTGTTGCTCACGTTAGCTAACGTTGAGCCAAATTCATGTACGTTCTCTACCTCAGCTTTCGCAAGTATGTCACATCCCGTGAATTCCGAAAGTGACTTGATTTTGATGAGGGGCGTGTCGCCTATGCATCCTTCGATGCCTTCCTTGATGCTGACTGCGCCGTGTCCACCACCGAATTCTAGTAAGCTCTTTTTCAACGTTTCCAGATCATTAATTTTTGCGAGTTGCGATAGCCATTTTTGCTGCTGTGTGAGAAGCTGATTTGCGTCATCAGTCCCTTCTATCAACCTTTTCTTATTGTATGCAGTCGTCAGAGCAATCCCCAACAGGAAAGCGCCCAAGAAATAATACTTGGAGCGATCCGACATTTTGGAAAGTACAGGAGTTGTGGCGTGCAGTTTGCAGAGTTGACGCGATCGGAGTTGGTGGTATCCCCGTCTTGGCGCGGCTGCCCGCAAAGCTCACCACGTGCATTCGCGCGGAAGACCACAGCCACCACTGCTGTCGCAACGCATTCGTGACAGTTGTCCCTGGCGCCAATGGACTCGCCGCTCGCCACGCAACTCTTCCGCCAGCTGTTCTCGCATCGAGCGTCGCAATGTCTTGCCCGCGGAGCTCGACCAGCGCTCGCAGGCGCCCGCATACCACACCACCAAAGACGAGGCAAGGCCACACGGTTGGGTGAGGGAGAAACGAAGCGCGAGAGCAGATGGACGCCGAGGAAGAATGCATTTCCGCACGAGAGGACGGAAGAGTTTGAGAGATACCCAATGGTCACAGCGGACATGCTGCGGAGTAGGAGAGAAAGACCGCGCAGAGTCAAGATGTTGTTGCGCGACTTTATAGAAGGTTGGGAATCTTGCCTGTGGTGTAGTACTATACTGATGGATTCAAAGACAGCTTGTACAACCCCAATTACGGCTACTTCTCCAAGCAAGTCGTCATCTTCTCTCCGGGCGATCCATTCGACTTCAACTCCATGGGCTCTGAGCACGAGTTCTTCCAGCAGCTGCGGCACCGCTATACTGCCTTCGAAGACGATCTCGATTACCAAGAACCGAATGACCTACGCCAGCTCTGGCATACGCCGACCGAACTCTTCTCGCCCTACTACGGAGAAGCAATCGCGCGCTATCTCGTCGAGGACTACAAGTACAATTTCTACCCATACCATGATTTGAACATATACGAAATGGGCGCGGGTAACGGTACAATGATGTTGAACATTCTCGACTTCATACGGGATGTGCACCCAGACGTGTACGAGCGCACCAAGTTCAAGATCATCGAAATTTCCAGTCAACTGGCCGACCTGCAACAGAAGGGTCTAGGACACTCAGCATATGCGCGAGGTCACTCTGACAAAGTGGAAATCATAAATCGCAGTGTTTTTGACTGGAACATATACGTCTCCTCACCCTGCTACTTCCTCGCATTGGAAGTCTTCGACAACTTCGCGCACGATGCCCTAAAGTACGACTTCGAAACAGGCCTCCCATATCAATCCCACGTCGTCATAGATCCTCGTGGAGAGCTCTTCGAATACTACTCGCGCACCATAGACCCCCTCGTTACCCAATTCCTCGAGCGCAGACACGCTGCCTGTACCACATACCCACATCCGCTGCAAGGCTCGCGACTCATGAACAACCTGAAGAGCTTGGTACCGTTCCGCTCTAATATGAGCATGCCGGAGTACATCCCTACGCGGCTGATGCAGTTCTTCTACATGCTGTACGAGAAGTTTCCAAACCACAAGTTGATTAGCAGCGACTTCCACAAGCTGGGCGATGCGGTCGAGGGTATCAATGCGCCTGTTGTGCAAACGAGGTATAAGAGGCAGATGATTCCCGTCTCGACACCTCTTGTGAGTTCATTCCTGTTTTGTTATAAGGCAGCCACTAATACATCCCAGGTGCACCAAGGCTACTTTGACATACTCTTCCCCACTGACTTCGAAGTCATGGAACCAATGTACACGTCGATAACCGGACGCTTCGCACGAACATACCTACACGAAGATTTCATGGCCGGCAGAGCAGACATTGCGGAGACAACGACGAAGAATGGTGACAACCCCTTGCTGAGCTGGTACAAGAACGCCAGTGTCATGATTACGGTATAGATCAGAGCCATACGGTCCTCTCACGGTCATCATGTAGGAGAACAATATGAAGATGCCAACATGCATTAGCAGCTACTCAGGCTCCTGTCCCTTCCATGTCTCCTTGACAGCGCTTACATCCATCTCACATATCCCAGCATGTCTCAATATCGCATGCGCCTTCTTCACGACCGGCGCATCGATCATCTTGCCATCCAATGTCCAGGCCCCTCGTCCAGCTTTGCTCGCCTTCTCATCCGCTATGACTACCCTTGTCGCCCACTCGAGTTCCTTCTCCCCAGGGCTGAACGCTTTATGACACACGGCGACTTGACTCGGGTGTATGCATTGCTTGCCGTTAAACCCCAGCCCTTTGCCATTCAAACACTCTTCCTCCAGTGTCTTGAGCCCCTGCTCGCCCTTGTAGCTCGTACATACCAAGTCAATAGTACTAGGAAGTCTGACAGCCCTCGCCGCCGTCGCAATCGCACTCCTTGCATACAAAAACTCCATAAGCGAAGGTGTACGCGTGAGACTCATATCCTTAGCAAAGTCCTCTGCCGCAAAGACAAGCCCCGAGATATACGGCGAAGCAGCGCAAATCTCACTCAGATTCTGGATCGCCTTTGCGCTCTCTATCAGTGCTATTATGCGTACTGGCTCCCTCTTCCCTTGTGTCCCTGCACTAGGATGGCGGTCGGGCGAGAGATGCCGTATCACGTCCGTGACGAAATGCAGGTCTGCAGCGCTTTCGCACTTGGGCAGCATGATGGCATCGAGGTGCTCGCCTTTGAGCACTTCCGTCAGGTCATCCAGCGCGAGGCCCGTGTCTACGCTGTTTATCCTTACGCACATCTCTTTTATCCCGGCGGGTCGGGGCTTGTTGAGGATGGAACGGAGGTTGGAGCGCGCTTCGGGCTTCATGTGCGGGGCGACGCTGTCTTCGAGGTCGTAGGTTACGTTGTCGGCGGTCATGGCGAAGGACTTTTCGAGCATGCGCTTGGAGGAGGACGGCACTGTGAGGAGTGTTAGTATGGTACTGGTGGAACTGCTTGTATGGTATGTGAAGGTGAATGGAGTGGTGATGGTATACCGTACATGCACGCCCTCCGTATAATTGGCGCCGCCATGCTGCTTCAGAACTGACTGAATTACTTCCTCCGAGATAGCTGCCTCAACCACAAAAGTATATAAGCCTCAATGGCAGAAAGTCACATAGCCGTTACACACCTCGGGCACTCTCGCTAGCCTATGACGTGCGGGGAAGTCGCAGCTCCACCAAAGCTCCCCCCAAACGCCGATCGCCGACGCGTCCCTGAGAAAGCCACGTGAAGCTGATCTTCACACGTCTCGGACTGTTTCCCCCAGCACCACGCACACCCCGACGGCACCAGAAACCATGGAGAACGCACAACAAGAGCCAGCGCCTGGTTCGCTGAGCTGGAGACTAAGCAGCCATCCCATCACGCTGCTTACCTTCCTCGCCTTTCGCATCTGTATGTTATCCCAACCTCCAAGCTCCAGGCACCATTTCCATACATGCCCAGTGCATTACATTCACAGCTAACCCTCCCCCAGCCTCGCTACTAGTCTACCTCCTCGGCCTCCGCCTCCTCACCGCAAACTTCGTCATGATCTTCATCATCACCATCCTGCTCCTTGCAATGGACTTCTACTACCTCAAGAACATTGCTGGCCGCCGCCTCGTCGGCCTCCGCTGGTGGAATGAAGTCGACGCCAACACGGGAGACGGGCGCTGGGTGTTTGAGAGTCTGGATCCGGAAACGGGCCGCCAGATCAATGCGACGGATAAGCGCTTCTTTTGGCTCGCGCTGTATGCGCAGCCTGTGTTGTGGGTGCTGCTGGCGATTGTCGCGCTCGTCAGCTTGGAGTTTATTTGGTTGACGCTGGTTGGTATGTGGAGGCATTTTCTCTTGATAGGGATATGAGAAGGAGAAATGTGCTAACATGTATGTCACAGTTATCGCGCTCGTCCTTACCATCACGAATACCCTCGCCTTCTCCCGATGCGACAAGTTCAGCCAAGCGACAGGCTTCGCCTCAAACGCCATGTACGGTTCGGGTCTCGCGAGGAACCTGGCTGGCGGCATGATCTCTGGGCTGTTCAGGCGGTGATACACGGACATTTTGGTGTTTGCGCGAATTTCTCGTTTCTCTGCTCTGGCTGTTGAGACGAAAGCAGGAGAGTCTTGTACGACTAGGCATATGGTCTATTACTTGGAGTCTACACAGGGCGTCTATGATACCCTATATCGATCTATCAAATCGAATTGAATGTTCTACGGAGCTATAGTCTGGGGTGTTGTGCTGGCTCAATAGCCTCTCTCGCGGTTCACCTCGTTGATCAGGTTGCCGTTACTTCGGTCCCGCTTTATGTTCTCGACCAACAACTGGAACGCGCGGTCGGCATACGCATCTGACGCTCCACTGCAGTGCGGTGTGATCAGGACATTTGGTGCATCCCACAGCGGATCATCCTTAGGCAGAGGTTCGGGATCAGTAACGTCAAGGGCCGCACCACTAATATGTTCCTTCTCCAGAGCGGTGATGAGAGCCTTCTGGTCGATGATTTGGCCCCGCGCGATGTTCGCGATGTAGGTGCCCTTTGGGTTGGACTTATGCAGGAGCTCAAATTCCTCGGTGGAGAGGAGATGCGTTGTCGCTTTCCTAGTTCGTGTGTTAGTGAAAAATCATCGAATCGTCTTTCTTTACATGACGTGAGCTGGTTACTCACGTTAGCGGCACAGCAACCACCAATAGGTCGATTTCCTGCTTCAAGAACTCGTGCACATCTTCTTTGCTAGTTCCGCTGTACCACGCGCTGGGAATGCTACCATCGGGATCACCAGTTCCAGGGACGATGTACCCGTTGTCGTGCTTGGACTCTGGGGTTCTGCGTGGCGAGGCTGTGTAGGCTATTACGTCCATGCCCATTGCCTTTGCTACGTGAGCAACTGCAGTGGATTAGCATAGCTTCCATATGCAGCAAGTATGCTAGCAAAAGTTGTGTCTCTCCGTCTTTTCCAAGTTGATTAAACATACCTTGTCGACCAATGCTACCATACCCCAATATACCCACTCTCTTCCCCACCCGATCACTGACACTCAGCCCCACCTTCTGGTCCCAAACCTTGTCCTTCTGGTTGTCATAAAGCTTAGTGTAGCTATGACTGTGCACCAAATTCATCATGATGACCCATTCGGCAATCTGCGGGCCATGAACGCCATTGGCAGAGCATAGCGGGATCTTGGAGTCAGTGTAGATTGGGTGGCTGGAAACGTGGTTTGTGCCTGCAGAGAAGAATTGGATGAGCTTGGTGTTTGGAATGGACGATGCGGATTCCGGGAGCCAGGATAGCGTCGCAATATAGGTTGCGCGCTTGATGTCGTCTGGGATGATATTAGCCACGTTGTGTAACAGGTATAATCGCGGGAAGCATGGAAGCTCTGCAGCTGCAGATGAATGTCCTTGTTGGACGACTGGTAACGCGCGAACCCGTCATCTCGGTTTCGACGTCTTCTTCAAAACAACCAATACTCTGCAAGTGTGTGTGTGTGTCTACTGCCAACTAACCTTCAGGTGCGTCCATCTCCGACTTGCCACTATCCCACTTGACCTGGAAGTACTTCACTTCCACATCGTCAAAAGCTTCTCTGAGAACTTTCAAGCCACGCTCGCATAGCTCTTGAGGCCAGTGCAATGCGCACAGCACAAGCTCCTTCTCTTTCGATGCATTTCGAGACGGTAAATCTGGACCACCTCCCATCGCGACCATTCTAGCTTGCAGACGAGTATCGGGTGTGGACTGTGGGTCTAAGGAAGAGCTGTACAATGCGATATGCGAATTGATTGTGTTGGCGATGGCGAGAGTCGAAAGTCGTACCTCGTTGCTTGGTAATGACGATGGAAGTGGGGATGGAGTCGGTACGTATACCCAGGTACGCTACATGGTGGGGTATCGCCTTCCTTCCCCTTCGCCCTGACCCTTGAAGTCATGACGTTGTTTAGATCCTTAAAGTCTAGAACACGCACGCGTTTTTGTGCCATTTGTTGCGACTCCTTTACTTAAATTTGCCAATAACGCTTTCTGGGGAAGTATGAGTAAGAGTTAGGTAGGCTCAAAGATCTGTGCCTGGTGTTATGGGAGACATGGCTTATGTGGACAATGGGTTTGTGACATCAGCGCCTGTGTTCAAAGCTCATCTTGTGCGACGTTAAATTTAAGCTGATTCTAAGAGTTTTAGTCACACTCTGCTATGCAATACTAGGTAATCTCGGTCTGGGATTCAGGATGTAGTGGAGTCGCCAGCCAGCAGTGGAAGCTGTCACACCACCACGCTAATTGCACCGACTGACATCCGCTCTTAAGAATCTATGCGCTATCGGATATTCATCACTGACCTGCGCAAGGGCTTCCTGGATTTAAGAGCGAACAGCGCAGTGGAAATGTGCAACATCGCAGGTCGATTTTATTGAGTTAGTGCACGACAGCTGTCAAGGCATACACGACATATTCCAGTGCCATGTCGAGACATGTATTGTTCCAAGCCTGCGATGATTAGAAAGTATGCTTGATGTGGGTGCTATCGGCGTTAATTGTGTGTAGCAGGCTCGAGGGCGACTGGAAAGAGCCTTCAGTACGTGAACGTGGAGCTGCATGACTATCACGCCGAACTGTACGAAGGGAGAGCCTGATGCTGTAGGCGACGCGGATAATAACAAATCTTTCCTCCGCGGACCGGTCCACTTCTCTTATTCAGGCGCACATGGAAAACGGAGCATGGTCGCAGACTCTGTCAGGAGCCCTGCGTACATCTATCGCACGCAAGCTGAAACTGAGTCGACTTTCATGCCTCGTGTGGGGCCTCAACGTCCGACTTCGAAGTCGCTCCCACAACCCATGCCTTCGTCGACAACTCTTCTATCGGACCGTCCACGACGCACCACGTAAGGCTATAAGTGCCGAAATTATCATGTCTGACAAGTCAATACATACCGCAGATACCGACTTCGCTATCGCGTCCAGCATTTCCCCCCAGGGCACATCAGCCCTCAATCTCGGTTGCTCTTACGGCCTGCTGAGCCGAGCCGTTGGATAAATCCTGCCTCGAGACGCGCGGGCCACGCAACACCCATGTCACGTCAGGCCAACCGCTCTGCGGCCCAGATACCTGTTCCTGCAGCTCGAGCCGAGCACGCGTTCATGCCTGCTCCTAAAGAGGCGTTTGGCTATACCGATAAAAACAAGGGGCCGCTGTCAAGATGCGCCTGTGTACCCACACGTGGAAGGGGGACCTTCTCTTTCCATAACGTTCCTCCGTCATGTCAGTCGCGTGTCTTCCCGGGGAACGATGTTCTGGAAACTGGGGCCTTTTGTTGAGGAGGATGTGCAAAGGGAAGGAGTAGTGCAGATCCATTCCCACCATGCAATGTGAATGTGACCTGACTGCCTTGCTCCTGCAGCCGCGGAAGTGGAAACAATTCTTTTCGAAAGGTGGAGTCGAAAGACTGCATCGCATTGATGGGTTCTGGTCGCTGCTGCTGGGCGGAGAGAGGTGCGGAGTACGGAGGTGTCAGGAATCCCTCTGAAAATGGTATAGCGACCCAATGGCATGGTGAAGAATGGGGCGTAAGCACGGCATAACGCTCATTCGCTGTTATCGAGTAAAGTTCGCAAAATCCCGCGTGCGCATGTCATTACACGAAAGACTAGTCAAAGTCTGTCTTCAACACGACGTCGCTCATGGAACCGAGCAAGGGATCCATTATCAGGGAGGAAAGGATGTGCCTCCCATTACCACGTTTTCTGGGCTGTTTCTTTTTGCTCGGCGACGTCTTCCTTGTGACCCTGCCAAGATCGACATATCATATGCTTCGAATTTACCCATATTACCGGTACAAGCCAGGTCCCGGCCCGTTCAAAAGCGATCGCACAACGGCATTGGACGTTCAGCCGATCCATGCGGCAGCGGACGGGTGGAGGTACGCGAGTAAAAGTAAGGTTTTCGATGCGTTCGGCTCTTAATTTACGTATTTTATTGTAGGACAGCTATACTGGCTATATATGTGAGCTATGGTAGAGCTACTACCAAGAGAAGCGGGTCTTAAGTTCGCGTGGAAGGCAAGCGTGGGAGCCGACGAGCTTGTGGCTTCGTGCGATGCTGAATCCGGTACATGCGAATGATCGACTCCGTACAAGGGCGAGAAGATCGTCTGCAATGATGATACAGGGAATGATGAGTTGCACCGAGTTCTATTCCGTGCAACGAACAAATGTGTAAGAATACAGTAAGAAACGACCCGGAGAAAGGAACTACCACGGCCTTAGCCAGGCGACAAGACTGTTGCTGTTACAGTGACAGACTGTCATCTGCATACACACCCATGTATTCTTTCATACAAGGCGACGTGTACTGAGGCGGATGTAATGATGCCCAACCCCTCGTTCGCCTTTGGCGATGAATCAGCGATAGAGTCTGTGGGGAGGTCTTTGAACTCTATATCAGCAGTACACCTAGTCAGAGATGCCAAGCTAGTGGTCTGACATATAGTTCAGAGACAAAAAGGGAATGGCGTCACTCATTGACATGAGAATGGCTGCGTTGAGGCTGATCCGTATCATGGTCTCGCGCAAAGACCGCGTATTCTCTGTCGCGACCCATGGCCATATGCTGGTGCATGGCCAAGTATGCTAGTCTTGCGACTGCAACTCGCTGAACCGGGAATCTAGATTCGGCTCGCGTGTGGTGACGGGTAAATCAGACGGTTGATTTCATACCCATAGCATGATCATCCCAGATTCAGCACTTATGTGATGGAGTGTAGCGAAGGAAAATTGTTGTATTCATGCTCAGATCTTAGATTCGTAGTCTGGAGGATGCAGTCCGAGTCCTCCTCTTGCCATGGATGATCTAGGGTCCCAGTCGACATGAGTAGCCGCCCGTGATTGGGGTCTTGGAGTCGAAAAGCTCAGTGTCGGGCTCTTGTAGTCGCGCTGAGTTTCTTTCTGGAAATGATCCGGGGTGTCCGATCGCTCGTTTCCCATAGCGTAGCTAGCAAGTCCAGGAGTACCATAGTATGCATCTGCTGTCGATTTCGGCTCAAAGTTCTTCATTTCGAAATGGCGTACATCCTCCTGGGGGTTCCTGGCGTCCAAGGATACAAATTCGCGGTTCTTGCTGAACTTGCTTCTGATCAAATCTCGCCAGCCGACCACCATGCTCCATCGGCTAAGCAGGAAGAACACTTGAAGACCGGCAATGGACAGCATCATCAAGATTGCTGTCACTGTAGATTGGTCGACAGCGAGAGATTGGCCGAGTGCATAACATGGCTCTGGGCCTTCGTCGGCGTGTGTTACCAGACAAATGACAAACGGAAGGAATTTGTCGAGGTCCTCAGTGGCGTGCGATGTTACGGAGTTCAGCCAGATGAAAACGATAGAGAAGAAGATGACGTCCACGAGGATGAAGACTACGATCGTTATGCCACGCCACTGCAGGTATAGGACTTTGCGAACACGCCGGTAAACAGCTCGTGCAGATCGGTTCCGTATGCTGGTCGTGTAAGAGGGGAGGCCGGCGCTGCTTTGTGTTTCGGTCTTGTCGTCGCTGAACATGTTCTGAAGATACACCTTGATACAGTATACGAAGCTGATAACGATGTTAGTAATGTCGTCTCATTTTCTCCCCCTGAGTGACTTACGTTGCGACCTGAATAACCATAGCTGCACCTGCAATGGCCAACAAGGGACCCCAAAAGTCCTTCATTGAGTGCTCGGCATTGACGTGGCAGACGTCACCGAATCTGAACGAGACCCCAGTGATCGTGATAGTGATGGTGAAGAAAGTGGCCGCAACTGACCAACCCAGACCTTGCGCCCAGTAGAAGAACTTTTGTCCTGGCGTGACGTCCCAGCAGATCTGAAGATGCATCGAGAGAGCGCGAATGAAGATCCAAACTGCCATCGACATACCTCCAGAGATGAGGAAAGCACCGGAGAAAGCACACGTCAGACTTGAGTACATATCGTTTGGGGTGATCTCATCGTAGCACTGCTCTGGTTGAGCACCAAAGGGTATTACGAAGCCAAGCTAAAGTCGATCAGCAGATACAGGCTGGGTAGGCTGAGTTCAGACTTACTGCCATGAGAATTGCGGCTATGATGAGACAATAGCTGAGATAATGTCGACGAGTCTTTTCGGCGGGCAAGACCAAGTAAGTGATGAGCAGGATGACCAGACAGATGAGACCAGCCACATTGAGCGCTTCAGCTGCGCGATAGGCGGTATTGAAACCTAGAAAAGATTAGGAACGTGAATCTCGATGTGGGCTTTCCAGGTACCTACTTTCTGGGTACAGGAAGTCTGTCAGAGGACAGGGCAAGCAGCAGATAATTTCACTGCCTGGTGTAACTGGCGCACAAAATCTTCCAGCAAGAACTATGAATGTCAGCAACTGTATAAAATCCAAATTAGACCACTTACAGCCGTCGAATCCAAATTTCGACACATCATAGAAAGGCGGCGGGCATTGTCCCCGCAACAGTGTGGTATTGGCCATGTCGAATTTTCTTACTCTTCTCACCAAACGAACCGAAGTGTTCAGTTAATATGCAGCATGAGAGTCCTTCCAGCGGTGATCCCCACTCTTGTCCGAAGTGCGATGTAACAGGGTTATAGGCAGTACGTGGACCCTACCGGCAAGACTGTCTCTGAGCTTCAGTCAAGCGCGGACGTGGGCTGGTATAGGATGGCTTCTTGGAAGACAATGCCGTGTAGATGAAACTGGTGACAGTATAGGCAGTGTCAGGCGGAACGGATGTCGCAGATGAGAAAACGAAACGATTGTGGAGTGAGTTGGTTGCCGTTAGCTCGAACGCGGAGAGTCTAAAGAGTGAATAAGGTTTTGGTCGGATTAAGGGCGCGTAGGGCCGAGCAGATGCAAAAAGAACGACGGGACGTTTTGGCAGAAGTAAGAAAAGCCGTCACGGCATGAGAGCGAAGCCGCAGTGATGCAGGAAGACGGCCTGGTCTTGAATGTGGCTCCTGGTTGGGCGGCCTGGGGGTAGGTCAAGTGGGTGCGGCGATCCAAAAGGGAACGGACCATCTTCACCCCTGCAGGTACACTTCTCCCCTGGTTTAGCGCGGCCTCACCCCCAGAAGCTTAGTGGCCAAGACATGCGAGGACGGCTAGGATTCGTAGCAGAGGGCGGGTCTGCAGACATGGATTACGGTTGGGTTCAGGAACAGGGCTCGCATGCGCAAGGACACTGGCTCGAAGGAGCCGAAGGCAGCACGGTCAGCTCGCATGTCTTTTCCCAGCTCGTGCATCGTGATTCGCGACAATGGACAAAGGGCTTCCCACACCGAAGCGCGACAGCATCCAAGACGGCATCCACGGGCGTCTAGCAAAGATCTTTGCGGCGTAGTAGCTCGCAGAGGTTGAGATTAAAAATCCCCCCTTCCAACAGGATCCTTTTGTGGAGAGTCCCAAATCATCGGTTCTGATGGTGTTGCGATGGAGTCGAGACTCGACAGGCTACCTGCAGGATTGGCTTTCCAGCCACCACGGATCTGCGAGATTGCTGCTGACTGAACGCCCAGCACTGATGCTATCGCGAGCCTTCTCGTACAGAACTGTCTGGCGCGTCCAATTGACTATCGGCAACGACCCTCCGAGAACCGTTGAGGAAATCGATAGCTCGCTACAAGTGGTCCCGGGTCATCGTTCACAATCCCTAGCGGTTCATCACTGACGTCCGGTGGCGGGAAGCCCAACTGCTCCTCGATCCACTTGGTCACCATGAAGAGTGGCCATCGATCGAGGTCTCCTGCTGTGGACCTGTGAACTATTCAGCTTGCTTGTGCCTGCTCTGCCGGTTGGAGTAAGCAAAAAACGTGCGGGAAGCACGAACTGTCCCATAAATCTCCGGTCTGACACCTGCGTTGAGAGCCTCGATCGTAAGCTGCACCAACCAGGCTCCGGTGAGCACTGGGTGGCGTAGTCAGCTCTGCAACGTCCGGCGGTTTCGAGCACTCTTTCCCGCGTTAGCGCCGCTTGGTGGGGTTCCCCAACAAACGCGTGCCGACGCGTAAATACTTCTCGTTGTTTTGATCGGGTCACGATACTGACTCGATTAGGACAGGCTTCGTCATTGTGATGCTGCGCCGCTGACTTGCTTGTGGACACGAGTTTGTGTTGTCCGAACGTTGGATGAGGTCTGTCCACGGGTGGCAGGTCGGCACGTGTCCTGACCCTGTCTAGGTATGACGCACGAACCGACCATCCCAACTCGTTCCCAAACCATCTATGGATGTCTCAAGTATAGCATTCTCTCGCAATGACCTGCTCTTGATGCACCCTCATCGCGCGATGATTTCTGGCCTTTTCGACTGGCTTGTGGGAAGGGCGCTATGCCTCAGAAACAGTGTGGTCCGTCTGAGGTAGCGAGACGGAGAACGCGCATTAGCCCTGCACTGTGCCTGCAGAAACCCCTTCGCCTTCTTAGGCATCGTTCGGACTGGAGACGCACAAAACTCTGATTGGCGGACATTTCAGCAGACTTGTTCTTGGTACATGTTGGCCCGTACTCACGAACCACCGCTTGAAAGGCAAGATGAACCCGAGCCGCTGTCGTGCCGTTTGGATTCGTGGGGAAGTGAGGAGCTGGAGGAAGTTCAAACGGTTCGGTCGTCTTGGTTCCGCCACTCTATATGTGCCTAGGCTCATGAAACCCGCGTGAGAGTATCTATCCCAACATACTAATCATTAGCCTTCTGCCCTGCAAGGAGACCGTCGTCGCCCGAAGTCACCAACTGCCTGGTTCAGACTACTCTGTCTCGTATAACCCAAAGACCTGGCTTGCCACGTCTGATCTACCGCGAGCTACTCATCCCATGGTTCTGCAGAACGCTAAGAGACGCTACAATCACTTCACACCATCCGCAACCTGCACGAGCGAGTACTTGCGACCCAAATAGAACCCGAAAAACGCCTCGTTTGTGGGTCAGTATGCGTAGAGGCGGTAGACCGTCGCGATTGGGGAGCTGGTCCGAACTAGAACGTCACAATCCTTCGAAGCTTCTGAGAGTAGTCGGCCCGTAGTCAGATCAGTACATGTGTCTCGGCCCTGGACATATTGTGACTACACGTCTACACTTCGGTAGGTTACATAACAAGACGCCCTTGAACTGCGTACTCTGATACTCGTATCACGGCCTGCCAGGCCTGCGGCTGATGTCTCAGAATCACTCGGCAGGCGGAGTAATCGTTCTCCGCATGAACCAAGGAACGTACCCTGAGAGCGGCAGCCTTACCAGCCGTGTTTCCAAGCACTCGATGCCAGCATGCAAAGGATAAAATATGATTGGCATCCGTTAGGCGTTATCGATGTCCGCACACAACTGTGACAACCTTCACACCTCATACAAGGGAAAACCTGGACACCCTAGAGCCTACGTTGACGTACCGCTACCTACTTTGCATGTTTTTATCCTGATGTAGGCTCCAGGGTGTTCAGCTTTTCTCTTGTATGAGGTGTTCCGGAAAAGGCATATCAACAGGCGACTACTATGACCCAGGAACAAGACGGCATTGAGCCGTAGATATCTCATCTCGATAATACGATCAGCTCGCCATAAGTACGCCATACCTCCAAGCGACGCACGAACCCATGTATACTATGCATTACCTCCAGCCCTATAAGCTCGCGTCCACGAACCCGTCCAGCCTTATCGCCATATGCGATCTCTTATACCTAGGTAGACAGCAATCCATCGACATACTAGCTATATCTATGAGTGGCATGTAGGTCATCCCGCTCCTCCCTCCACATTACGACCCTTTCCAAGGGTCTCGAACTTGGACCCCAAGAAGCCGTCTTCCAATGCAACCCTCGGTGTGGTGGCGGGTATGGCGTTTATCAACGGGCGTGGCTGTCGTTTTGGGATCGATGTCCGAACGGGGACATTGGAACTTCGAGCCACGAGCCGCATTGCCTTCGCTTATGCTTGCGATGTGGTTATAATGAACGTATACTATTGCTTGACAACTACATGATGGCCTTGGGGACATAATGATCTGCCATTCAGCTATCGGAACTGAAAATGGGTTCAGCGGTGGCGAGGAGTAGAGGTCTACCCGACACTCTCGTACGTAAAGCGCTGCTGGCGTCAGATCCTTCGTTGCATTCACTTACGCTACCGAGGGCTTGGGTGAGCGCACACACGGGACGTTCACCAGGATTGCAAGCCAATCCTTTGACACGTAGCGATGTGAGGGAAGATCGGTGTGCAAAAGTGACCGCCCGTGTTGCCGCAAAAGCAAGTCCTGGCCCATTGGAAGGGTCTCGACGTTCCGGGACTGCACGCCTCGTTGATACTATTGGCAACGTTGACGCTGCCGGATGTCATTGGGTCCCTCGGAGCATTTTCGTGACGAAAAGCAATTAGGTACTGTGATGTGGCTGGCGTATGATCGTCTGCCATTTATCGAGTACAACGACCTTTGGTAATGCCAATCATGTGGTTACTGTCACTGTCACTCTGCACCAACAAACATGGCAATGTGTACAAGAAATGTTACATGTACATATCAACAGATACCAAAAGTTGTGAATCCTGTGTACATTGAGCTTCCTCTGACCCATACAAACCCCCAAGAATCAAATGACACTTCATAGCTTTTTGGTCTTCTTTACATCGACTACAGTGCGAAACCCAACACCTCGTTTATCAGGTACATACATAGATACAAAGAGAACGGTTCTCTGACTCATACATAGCCTAACATTTCTTCAGTTCCCCAGACTTTTCTCACAATGACTCGGACGTGCGTGGGTAGCCTGCTACGTGTGACTAGGCATACGTTACAGTCGCTTTCAGGAGATTCCAGCATACCGACCAATGGCCGTAGAGCAAAGCCGGAAATGTATGCCAAAACGCGCCACGGATGAATTCCAAAATTGTGGTGATACAAGATGACGCCAGAAGACTCGCTACTCGCAAAGAGGTCGGATGCGAATAAGCTGCATTTTAAAGTGTCGCAAAGAACCAAGAGCCGAGGATGAAGCAGTGAGATGAGTCATGGAGACGGCGATGGTCGTTAGACGGAGCGAGCAGGGTTCTTCAGTAGCCCTTTACAGTCCC